ACTCTCGTTGTGAAGAGCAATTAAATAAATCAAAAGTAATCAACAGGTAAGTCTGGTTAATTAAAATAACAAATATTCACAGCTTCCTCGGTTTTGGGAAATCAACCGGTGTAATCTAAATAACATTCTAATCTCTATCTCACATCGATTTTCTTTCATCTTATGCTGCCTGCTTATCAAGGGAGGCTTGCAAGTAGGTATCCTCTAACATACTAACTTGAAATCATTAATAAATCACCAGCCGTTAATCATTTTTATAAACTTCCACTTGGTTATAAGATTTAATTTATTACTTTTTATTTTCTCTGAATGATAACAGGAACGCTGAAAAAGAGTGGATTGCTGAAAGAGATGCCGAATCACCTGAACAAGAATGGGAAAAAATCGCTCGCATGTGTGATTTCAATCCAAAAGCATCTCGTAACTCAAAAGATACGTCAAGAATGAGATCGATTTTACTTCAATTGAAACAACAACAAGCTCAAGAAAAATCATCTTGAATCATTTTCCTTTTTATAATTTTATTATCACAACCAGCAAGCGTGATTAATTTGAATCATCATCATTGCTTGCTGCATTTACTTCTAATTTATCACTGACAAAATACCTATCAGAAAGTAAAAACTATATTGCGCCTTATATCAAGACCACCAAAAGTCTTCTGATACAGTATACTACTGTAGTTTAGTACCATATAAATGGACATTTCAACCGATGGAGTCACCCTTAGCCAAAAATCTGTGTTCAGCACATTTCTGCAATTATTCACCAGAATACATTTTGACAGGATTGGTTAATGACAAAAAGCCAAGTAAAGAAGCTTCTTTACTCTTTGGCCATTATGAATCACCCAACCAAGTAATGAATTGAATAGCTTTGTGGACCAAGTTCATAGCAGTATTTTAATCGCCTTGAGATGTTTCAGATTATTTTTTATTATCACTAGATTTCTCTCCCCAAACATCAATCTTTGTTTTCGCATTTAAATATTATTTACGATAAAATGTCTTTGATAAATATAATCATTCTTTTCCTTACTTTATGATCTGAAATTTTTGTTTTTATGAAAAAAACACGTTTTGTTTCTATGGGTTTATTTTTCAACGTTAAGATATTGTCACTAGTGTGATACCTGATCACTATGTGTAAATAGAAGCCATTTAATTGATAATAAAATAATAAAAACAGTGTTAGGAAAAACATATTTTACATCATTAATTTTTGCTTGATTCAATTTGCGTGCTATATTAATAAATCAATGTGCAGATATGTTTACGTTGAAACCTGCAAGTCGACTTCAATGAAACATTGTTTGTGTTAATTAACTGAATGTGTTAAATTAACTAGTTGAAACATGTTAGACAGTTCCAAACATTAAGCATATTCCAGTATCAAATCATAATCAAAAAATGACTCCAAAATGTAACAAAAAGTCTGATCAGATCATGTTCATCCTTGCAATAATTTTGTCAGAAATATTTGAAGTAAACATTCAGAATTCATTAATTCAAAACGTTTATTATGGTTTGAATGTTTATTGAGATTTCAGATTTTTATGGTTTTAAAATCATTTTTAACCCAACAATGGTCAACGGTATTTTATTAAAATGCATGCTTTCAAACCGTCCAGTTATCAAGTGAAATGTTTCGCTTTAAGCTTGGATTCGAGATGAATATAACCGTTGATGATCCTCTTTTTGTTTAAGCATAAATCCATAGCCAATTGCTAAAATAATCATGATCAGATAGATAATGAAAATTGACGGATTAAATGTCGGAGAAAATAAAGACACCATATTTATGAACATTAATATGGTGGCGTAAGTATAAAGACATCGACGATTCTCCTTGATTGCACCAATAACACCTAACATATGGAGGCCAATAAACATCATTAGAGTGAAAATAACAATAGACATCGGTAGTCTAGTGTATAATCGAGCTATCACAGTACCATTAATTGTATATGGTTCCATTTCTCTCTGTCCTTCATCGTAAACATAGAAACCAAAGATAACAATTCTTTGAATAATTCGTCCAAGATTAAAGACAACTAAACATAATTTAGCTGTGAAATAAGCGTGAGCTGTTTCACCCATTTTAATTGAACTTGATTTTTGATGAATTTGTGTGAATGAAACTGTTAAAAATTAACAAAACAATTACTTGGCTTCGAATTTGTTTGTTTACATTTTGAGGATTGGAATTGTCATGGCATTCCATGAGAGTGACTGTTCTGACTCAATCAAAATATCTTGTATTTGGAAGCATCGAAAAGATCAAGAAATTAAAATTGATAAGACTTTTGCCCTCGCTTCGAGCTTCAACAATGAAAATCTTAAATTCAGTAATCTAACATACAGCTACACATACTTATGATCATAATTTTTGCAGTTGAATGATAAGACAATCTATTAATATATTTTATATATCCAGTGATTAGATTGATCGGGACCTTCTAAATGTTATTGTTTTACTAAATGTAATCAATTACTAATCAAGAGTATCTCTTCCTCCCGATACCGAGTATTTGTCTAACGGATACTTGAATCATACAATGATTAGATATTTGTGATTAACAGGATACAGATTATTAGAAAATGATTTTATTTCTGGTCAAATTCAACCTTATCTGAGCAAAAAATTACTCATGAGTTGTTGGCCTGGTTTAGACAATGGAAGTTTTTAAAATGATGAGAGTGTCCGGGAATTTCTATTGAGAAATATACGAGGTAAAGATTGATTTTTGATGTACAAAAGGAAGATGAAGAGGTAATCATAAGGCCAAAGCGTCTTTGATTAATTTTTTGAGACCCAAATCGTTGTTTGTTAGATTTGTAGATGCATTGGGTCCCTCTCCTATTCGGTGGTGAATCTACGAAAAAAAGAAATAAGGAATTAGAAAAATAATCAATTTAATAATAAAAATAATAAAACATACTCTGTGTAAATAAGGTTGAGCATCATCAAATGATATATCGAAGAAAGCATCAACATTGTCCCTATCAGGCATTTGAGGTGTTATACATCGAGCACCATTCACTATTTGAATGATTGATATAACTTTGTCAAGTATGACTTCCTCTAAATTTAAAACTTCTGGCTTAGCTCTGTCGTCAACTGTAAAAACAAGAAAAAAGAGGAAAGTTAGACAAGTGACCGAGAAAAGGTAATAGTAAAATTAACTGATTCGATAACTTACCACAAATTATTTTAAGGTTCCATATTTCCCAAACTAAGTTAGAGTCAGTGAAAAATCCCATTACTCCAGAGCTCTTCTTTTTTTTGTAAAATTCAATCGTAATAGTTCCAACTTTTTCTCTACTATCTCTTAGTTTTTCCACAAATTCTCGAATTTTACTGTTAAGAGAGTTTATGATACTTGGAGAAGCACATCGAACCTAAAAATTTATACGAGAAAGAAAGTAAATTCAATTAGAAATATAAAAGATTTAAAAAATAACCAATTGCTGGATAGAGCTGTGATTGTGAGCACGTGGATATTTCATTGCCATATACAATGTAGTTAGGGTAAAATTAAACGAAAACCCATCAGCACATTTTTCAGGGTAATTAGTAATAAATCTAAATACAGATAGATACTCACATAGCTGTAATCAATAAAATCACATTGAACATCTTCATAACCCAACGAGCCAACGGAATAGCTTATATCATCCTTATATGTAACCTGTGATCATTTGAGAACATTGAATTGAAAAATTAGTTAGAGTAAATCAAAACACTACGATTCGACGAAAGGACATATGAATAGATAACAAGCCTTACCTTTCCTGTTGTTCGGTAAAAAAGAATTGTATGGAAAATAGCTGACACAACATCATTTATCTGATGACCAGCGCATTTCTGTTGAATAAAAAGAGGTAAAATGTTATTGTAAAGCAATGATAGGATTGAGACACAATGTGGAGACAAAACAAAGAAATGGAAGGGAATATGTTTGCGAGAATGTAAATGAAGTTCACATGATAAAAACAAAACATGTTGATTTACTCACAATTTCAAATGTATTGGATCGCGCATTCATATCAGTAATTAAAAGAATATCTTAAAAGAAAAAAATAAATTAGGAACAAAAATGTAAAAAGTAGCTTTTAGTAAAATCAATGGGCATTAAAAAGAAAAGGTTAACATCACTTTCTTTTTTTGTTGTTTCATGTGAAAAAAAATCTAAGCACAATGAACAAGAAATGAACAGCTTTTTGTTTATTAATAATAAAATCAAAAAAGTAAACAATCAGTCAGCTGTTCTTTTACCTGTTAATGCTCAGTCGCATTAGAAAATAAAAAATTACACTGATTTAAATTAAACATAAATGCGTGTTATCTCACCCAATCATCTTATCCAAATAGAGATTAAACAACTGTTAAAGATAAAAATGAAAATGAAAATCTCAACCTTTACCATTAATTGGACATTTTCATCTTTACCAGTTGATTAATCTCCATTCGGATAATATAATTGGGCGGATTAACACGCAACAATTTTTATCTTACCCTTTCTAGGCACAAAGGTTGTTTATTGCTATTGTTAGCTCTTCAAGAATGAAATATGGTGGACACAAGAAAGAGGGTAACTCAACTGACCATAGTCCATCCGAGTCCTCAAGCAAAATTGTAAACAAACAACATCGATGGCGACTTTTTTCCGAGTTTCATTTTCAAAAATGGATTGACCGATTCGGGTAAAGCTTTTGTCGAGACCTTTAGTCTAATGATTCTTTTGAATTAATCATCTCGGGAAATTTCATTTTTATCAATATCTTCCATCAACTTGACCCAATCCAATGATGATGAAATCGACAAGCAATTCGTTTTCACTATTGAAATTATTTATAAAATCCAAATTTTCTCATGTACTTTTAGGTCAGTAGATCGTTAATAGTTATTTTAGCTTTAGATAATCTATCCAGAAATTAATCAACATTTAACTGGAACTATTTCCCTTTCATTAGGGCATTTCCAAAATTAGTCGAATCTAATATCACCATACAAATAATTTAGCAATTTATAATTAAACAAATTGCACAAATTAGTTGAATTTGCGCTTCATAGATGGCTTTTCGGTGATGGACACGATCTTAAGAACTGAAGTAGATAACCGTATCTGTTTATGAGACTCAATCTAGATTAACACGAACAAATTTAGCCATTTAATATGGAAATTTCATGATGATATTTTAGTTTTTAATTATTCTTAGAGTAGCTAAGCTAATTTTCAGGCTAAAATTTCTAGATATAGTCTTTTATTTCATGGCGAACATGGCATATATTTTAAGGTCGGGTCTTTTATCCGATACTAGTAACCATTCGATGGTTATCACGCTACACTTGTAGTCAGGGTTAAGTCAACAAAAATTACTTTGGTTACCAAACAAGCTGGTCTGAATTTTCATCGACTTGGTTTCATGGTTTTTCAAATTTATCTATAATTATGATTTCCTGTGTAAAGTCTGTGATTTTAATTTCTTATTGATTATTTGTCTCACGATCATCCAATTCCATCTTTTTACTCTTTAAAGGTATGTTAATCCATTCCATTATCCTTAAGATTGAGATACTTGAGATTATATTTTCACACATTGTTTTACTCTTCTCTATCCACAGCTGGTAATGGAAATAAAAATTTCTAGTTCTGAAAAGACTTCTTCCGACGTGAACGATAAAAAAGTAG